GAGAAGAGATTGAAGTGGTCAAGGATTCTGTCTTGCTTGGATCCACAATCAGTGCTCATGGAAGCAGCAGTCAAGAGCTCAAATAACACATGGCATTGGATAAAAAGGGTAAACATTGGATAAAGAAGATTGAAGAAGAATCGATGTATTGAACTATGGTGCTGGCAAAAAGCACTGAAAGTACCCTAGACCAGTGATTTTCACCCTTCCTCATGCCACGACCCTTTAACCCAGTTCCTCATGTAGTGGTGGCCCCCCCAACCATACAATTATTTTCATTGCTACTTCATAACTGTCATTTTGCTACTGTGATGACCCCTGTGAAATGGTCGTTTGACCCCCAAGGGGGTTGCGACCCACAGGTTGAGAACCGCTGCACTAGACTAAGAAAAGGACCAACAGATATGTCTTGGACAGAGGACAGCCAGAACACACCTGAGAGACAAGGGTGGCAAGCCTCCTTCTCGCCTACTGTGGACATGTCACTGGGAGAGAGCAGTCCCCGGAGAAGGACATTATGCTTTCTGAAGCAGAGGGGCAGTGACCAAGAGACACAGTGGCTGCAACAATAGGCAGGTGGCCCAGGACGGGGCAGTGCTTCGTTCTGTTGAGCAGAGGGCTGCTCCGGGCCAGCGCCGACTAGAGGGCACCTAACCACAAAGCATCCCTTTGTTCAGTCTCATCTCACCTCCTGCCCTTCCTCCCTCTGAGCCTCAGCCAGCCTACCTTCCTCAGACCTTGCCACACACACCTCTCTCCATCTATCCAGAACCATCTCTTTTCTCACCTGGGTTACACAACGTATCAAATGACAAGTCCTTTGGATTCCCATCCCAATGTCAGTCCTTCAGGAAGCCTTCTCAGGGCCTCTGGCCCATATCCAGCTTCTATGCTCCCCTGGGATTGCCGCTACACAGGATGAGTGTGATCATGACTTCCTGGTCCATGAGAGAGCCACAGCAGCCGGTCCCTGCTCTCCCTGCCTGGCACACGAAGAACAGCCTGTGGGAACCATTTGTTGGAAAGGTTGAAGACCCATGGCACCTTCCTAAAGCCTTGGGGTCTCAACTTCATCCCTCCTTGAGGTAGTTAAGGTTTATTTTGCCAACCTGGCTGATAAACACATGTGGGATTTATTGAATGGGGAGAGATCAATGGCTTGGTGAGCCTCGTCTTTCTAGTTCTCTTGTCTCTGGCTCTCTGATGGTTGGACCTGGATGTGGCTGCCTTAGC